CCCCACCCACACCCCCCCCCACCCACAAAGGGGGGGGGGGTTTGCGTGTGGTTATTCTTAAAAGGCTTACGAAATCCTCTTCGCCCAAACTGTGGTGCCTCCACTACAGCCCACAAAACCGCCCTTCTGAGGGAACCGCCTCAAAACCGCCGCTTTCCCCTCGGCGGGACTCCCTCCTGCCCGCCTCCCTCACACCCTTGCCGGGCAGTCTCCTCGCACCACACATTCCAGCTGCCCGCCTTCACAGGAGAAGAAGAAGGAAGAAGCCCAGCAGCAGGAGAAGGAGACCTGAGGCAGAGGCGGCGGTGGGGACGGCGACCCGTCTCCTACCTTCTTTCACAGACCAGCCGCGAAGCCAGGCTGCTGGCCGGCCAACGGACCCATTGGCCTGGGTCCTGCCGCCTAGCCTTCCTGCCGTCCTCGTCCTGCCGCCTAGCCTTCCAAGCAGACGGACGGGGAGTGAGGCTGCTGATGGGCGGGAAGGAGCGCCCAGAGACTGGAAAGAGCCGGGAGGCGGCGAAGGGAGCGCCGCCCGCCTGCCCGCCCGCCTGCCCGCTTCCCTCAGCGAGCTCACTTGCCAGCGCGAGGCGACTGCGCCTCGGTCCGCCTCAGCAGCCGGATAGGAGGGGGCGGGGCTGGGGAGAGAAAGAAAAGCCGCGAGAGACTCTCCCCGGCACACAACGACGCTCTCCTAGCTGCTTATTGGCTGCCTCCACCTCAGAGCGCCCCTCTGTGGTCATCCCTCACACGCCATTGGACGGTGCTTTTCGGAGAGGAACGCCCCGCCTACCATCCGAGGCGGCAGAACCCTTCTCTTTTTAGTAATTCTCTCCCTTGCCTTATAGAGCCTGGAGGGAGCTGCTGTTGTTACCGCTTTCTTTCTGTTCTGCTTTTCCCGGGCAGCGTTGGGGGAAGGGGGGGGAGAAGGGTTCCCAAAGTGGTGCCTTGAGGTGGAGCGTCGTTGCAAAGGAAACTTTAGCCCTAAAAGGACCCCGTCAGGAAGTCCAGAGTGAAAGAATCGGGCGGGGTGCGTGTGTACAGTATGTGTGTATCAGTCCATTGCAGCAAAGCAACAAAGACGGATCAATTTTTATTTCGGATAAGCTTTCCTGGATATCACAGACCACTTCCGCAAAAGTCTATTAATGTCTAAGGTGCCAAAAGATTTCTCCCCACTAATGCTTCTCTTCCGCATGATGGACACCAATCAGACACTGATACAGTATACGGAGATAGGGCACGGAAGGGGGGGGGGGATCAAGGGATTGTGGAAATGACTGTCTGTAAATCAGGAAAAAGGACCTGCCTCTGGAAAGCCTGAGAAGGGTGATATATTAAAAACAGTAACAACATCCACCTTTTAGAACAAGGCTGAGAATCCTATATTCAGTGTGAATGGCAGCCTGGTTTCAAAACCTTGGACAAGTCCTACAGAAAACATTGTATATTATAGTTTTAGAATGAGGGAGGGGTTGATTTGCGGCTATCCAGATGTTGCTGGGCTGCAAGTCCCATGGTCACACAATATTGCCTGTGCCTGTTAGGATCAATGATAACATGTACAAGGCCAGAATTTAGGCACCCTTACAATGCTCTCTTGGAGCAGGTGGTGTCCCGCAAATACACAAATCTATCACCAAAAGCGTCTAAAGTAATAGAAACATTTGGGATAAGCACTGGAGACAACCATTAATGATCATGTGTGATGGCAACTCACCAATCATAGGTGCAGTGATGTCATGTTGTTGTTTAGTCGTTAAGTCGTGTCCGACTCTTCGTGACCCCATGGACCAAAGCTCACCAGGCCCTCCTGTCTTCCACTGCCTCCTGGAGTTTCGTCAAATTCATGTTGGTAGCTTCAATGACACTGTCCATCCATCTCATCCTCTGTCATCCCCTTCTCCTCTTGCCTTCACACTTTCCCAACATCAGAGTCTTTTCCAGGGAATCTTCTCTTCTCATGAGATGGCCAAAGTATTGGAGCCTCAGCTTCAGGATCTGTCCTTCCAGTGAGCACTCAGGGTTGATTTCCTTCAAAATGGATAGGTTTGTTCTCCTTGCAGTCCAGGGGACTCTCAAGAGCCTCCTCCAGTGATAGTCATAGTTTGGTTGTTGTGGGTTTTTCGGGCTCTTTGACCGTGTTCTGAAGGTTGTTCTTCCTAACGTTTCGCCAGTCTCTGTGGCCAGCATCTTCAGAGGACAGCACTCTGTGCTCTGGTCTAGTTTGCTTGGGAGTTGAGTATTTATGGCTGTGAGATAGGCTTTTGTCCTTTTCAGGAGATGGGTGATTAGTGTGTCTTGTTGCGGGTGTATTGTTGTGATAAGGAGGGAAGATTATCTGTCACTGTGATTGATGGGTGTCATTAGCTGGCCTTTTGTGTGTAGGACAAAAGCCTATCTCACAGCCATAAATGTTCAATTCCCAAGCAAACTACACCAGAGCACAGAGTGCTGTCCTCTGAAGATGCCAGCCACAGAGACTGGTGAAATGTTAGGAAGAAAAACCAAAGAATAACGAAGAACATGGCCAAAGAGCCTGAAAACCCCCCAACAACTATTAGATCCCCGCCGTGAAAGCCTTCGCGAATACATAGTCATAGTTTATTTATATGTTGCATTTTCCAGAAATACATTGGAATGGTACAACCAAGACTGAAGGCTAGGGCCTTGCAGCTGGGGCAATGACTTCCCAGAGAATAGCAAGTAATGAGTAGCTTCTGTCAGACAGGCCAGTTGTCAGCAGTTACTGCCTAGACAAAAGAATTCTGGCTTTTTCATATTTTCCAAAATAATTACAGTCAGGAGTCAGCTGTCCAGGCATGTACATTGACAGAAATGCTCACATTTGTTCTTTTAAAAATACATTGCCCCTTCCTACAACAAAGCACTATTTATGAGTAAATGCATTTAGTAACTCAATTTTATTCCTCTAGTCATGGTGGTGCTATGGTTTAAATGAGTTTAAAACGTGAAATGGCATGTGCAGTGCATATTTTTTCATTTTCTTTTCCTCTTCATTAATACATTCCCAGCACAGAGTACATTTTAAAAATAAGGGGGGGAGAGATGGAAGTCAGAGTATATCCTTTTTTAAATTGGAGTTAATACATGGCTTATGTTCTCTTTTGCTAGAACAAATGAGCCATATTGAACCAGTAGTGAATCACGGTATAGCAAGTGGGGTAGGTGAGAAGGAAAAAGCTGTATCTTTCATGATTGAGATGATACATTAAAAGATGAGGGGTTAAGAACAGGATCTAAAATTACTGAAAGGAAAACCTTGGGATGAAGGCTGGGGGGACAGAAAGGAGGTAATCCAACCCTTTTTTTCCTGCTGTTCCCCTCATCTGGGGCTCTGCTGGGGCTGTGCTGTCTTATGACGGCAGTGCCCATGGAGTCAATGTAGCTCCACTAATGGGTGTCCACAGGAGGAGCGAGGAGAAATACTTTTGTCCCCTTTCTAGAATTCTAAATGTGTTATTTTAATAGACACAGACAGATGCAGTATCTTGTAGTGATACAAAATGGGCAAATTACAGTATTTTGGCATATCACAATGCAGTTCTCCCCGCAGGAAAAAAAATTCTGCAGACACTCTTGACTGTTCATGACATCAGTGTTGCACCACACGCTACATTTTTATTTTACACTATTTTCTCAATGTCATTCCTTGTACATATAAGCCAATACCTACTGGGTATAATTATGTCAAGACTTGCATTATTTCTTATTCAAACATCCAACTCATTAAATCTATCACATGACCAAGTTTCCTTACTGATAATGGAATGTAGAACAATTGTCAAAAGAGAACAAATGGGATGTATAAACTATGGAAAATTATTCTGAGCAGTTACGTTAAGTACCTTGCACCCTGATACAGGCATTGCTGCATCTGAAGAAGTGGGCTACAGTCCATGAATATGTATCTCAAATTTATTTTGTTATTTTAATCTTCAGGATGCCAGAAAACTCGTTATAGTTCTCCTTGAAATGAAAGAAGTTAACACAGATCAGCTGTGACAGTGTCACCTTATGCATGCTAATTCAGAAGCCAGTTCTGCTGAATTTACTGAGGTCTACTCACAAGTTAGCAAACACAAGACTGTATATAAAATCACAGCTGTTGTTCCATACCAGAGAATAAACTTGGACTGTTCAGCAAGTTGAACATGTACTTTGGTCCTGTTATTTCCTTTAAAATTTAATAGTATATTATGGCTTGGGAAAGAATGGCTTGACAGAGCAATTACAGAATAATGCAATATCCAGAAGACGTGTACGTCCATCTTTCTTTTCTTTCTCTTAAAGTATTGCAGAAAAATATAAGCAACCTAAAACCAAGCAGATATACTTCAGAGGAAGGAAATTATGACTCAGTTATACATTATTTAGAAGAAAATATAATTGATTCTGCCAAGGTGTCTACCTTTGTACCAGCCCTTCAATTTCCAATCTCAAATGAATAAAAATACAGTAAAGCAGTGATGGTATAAGGGACCTTTTACTTAGCTTCATTTATTTAGCCTCTGTGAACAAAAAGACTGGGAGAGAATTGTTAGCAGAACAGCCACCTGAAATTCACCTACTTGGTGAAATAACTGTTCTCAAAAAAGGGGGGAAAGTTGCAAGAACTCAGACAGTGCTATAAACGATATATCATTCTTTCCAACACAAGAGCAGGATTTATTTACAGTCAACCCTCGACTTACAAATGGCCCTAGTTACAAACATTTCGACTTACAAGCCGTTCTGATAGAAAAATATTGACTCGACTTGCAAACTTAGATTCAAGTTACAAACTGAAAAAAACCGCGTGGGAGGTGGGGAAAGTCCAAAATTAGAACTTTCAGTTAACCGTTGGCCAGTGAAGAAGGTGCCTGTCTGCTTCCTCGCTCTTCCCAGCGTTTTGAGAGTGGATTTGGAGACAGTCTTCAGACCGCCTGATATTGCCTGGTACAGTGCTGTATGGACTGT